CCTAGCGAAGGTGGGTTCATGACTCTCCAAAGCTTCGCTAGGAACATTGCGCGTTGCGCCTAAGGCTTTGTATCTCCAATTGATCCAAGGCTCATGGCGTTCCAGCCAGGCCATAACGAGAATGAGATCATATCTCGAGTCCAAATCTAGGACAAGACAGCGCTCAACGCTATTGAAATCTAAAAGCTTCATACCTAAGTTCAACGGAACTTTGGGAACGGTGACACGTACACCTGTTGCGAGACGCACGGTTATACTGTCACCCTCTTGCGCTTCTAGCGCCTCAGCATACAGCTGACTCCCTTCAAGGGAACGACGTCGGACATAATTACCTGACGCCCCTGAGTCAATTAAAATTGACAATGGTTTCTCAAAACCCTTAACGGTTGCCGACACAACCAACAATCCTGGCTTGTAATCTTGTTCGATGGAAGCATCCACAGAACCACCTGGGGCTAAGCCCTGTTTACCTTTACCTCCTAAAGGTTCAACAGAACTTAGTTCTTTCCCAGTAGGGCGCCCCGCGCCTATTGGGAGTTGACGTTTTCCCTGCGGTGCTCGCCTTATGGCTAGGAGCAGGGTTTCAGCTTTGCCGATTTGAACGTTGCTTTCGCAACGGACAGCTAGGGCGGAGATGCCTAGTGCTTTCGCACATGTAACATCTACGGATGTTACCTTGCTGATCAGCAGCTTGAAGCTCATCTTCTTCAGCATGGCTGAGGTCCATGGGTTCCGACCTGTTAGAGGTATTTGATTGATACCATGGCAGACCATAGCGAGCAGATTTGAAATTAAATTCAGCGTTAAACGCTATGCTTACTGCCTCTTCGAAAGTAGAAGGCTGGACACGGAAAACTTCTGTCCTGACGACCCCCGTACGAAGTCCTTCCATAAAAATGGTCACTCGGACTTCCTCTGCCAGTGGGTCCTGCTGCATAGCAGCAATGAGAGCTCTCAACTCTTGGACATAGTCCGACAATTCTTTCTTACCCTGTCGGGTAGCTAAGAAGCGTGAGCGCACACGATACGCCTGATTAGGCGGAGCAAACACACAAGTTAATTGCTTTTTAAGCATTTCCCAGGTGGGGAATGCAGCATTTACAGAGACATCGCTCGTTAGAGCCCACTCTCTAGCTCTTCCACCGAGCTTCGAAATGGCCAAGCCAACTCGTTGCTTATCCGACACAAGCATGGCGGAATCCATTGCCATTTCAACTTCTCGGATCCAGAGGAGAAGATTTTCTCCCTCCTTCCCCTCAAAGTTTTTCACGTTTAAAACGAGTGGGCGAGCCTTTGGCTCTGCATCGGGCACAGGTACCGGGATATACCGTGTAGGCGCAGCTGACGCTGCCTGGTCATATACCTGCCAAGCAGCTTTTCCATATAACGCATCAAGGCCTCAAGACGAGCATTTAAAACCTCGGGGCCTTGGGCCAAAAGGGACTCGATTTGATCGGGCCCGACGAACGCAGATAGTTTATTTTAGCGAATCGTTGCGCCTCAGAGGTGATGTTGATTCTCCATCCTCACAGAGGGTCAGTCTTTAAAGACTCAGGTGTAGGATTGACTACAAGTGCTACCAAGTGTAGCGGAGCTGCACAGCTCTTTAGCCAGAGGAAGACTTTCCGGCTGGAAGCCTCTTAGTTCTAGAGAACTAAATAAAGTTAAGGCTAACAGCCACTTAGTTCTAAGGAACTAATTAAACGACCTAAAGTCACCCTGTTCTAAGGAACTAGGAAAGAGACTTTTAGTCAGTCAAGCAATAAGCTTAAGGTTCAGAGAACCAGCGCACAGAGTGCAAGAACAAGCTAGAAGCTTAGAGGTTCAGAGAACCAACGCACGAAGTGCACAAGAGAGCAAGTCAGAACGACTTGCGATCTTAAACTTAAAAGGAGAACTGGTTTTATTTATGCTTTAAGATTTTATGAATAGTCCTACTCTAAGTACACTACACTAGATTAATTACTATAATAGTAATTATTATATGCAGACTTTGCTATTGGACGACGTATCGTCTAAACATCTGTGTATGATGTACTTAATACAGCGTTATCGATTTATCGAATCCTAATCGATAAGATACGGTATTACCGAATACCGTATCTTAACGCTCATACTTAATACCTCTCTAAAGAGAAGTATAAAAAATGCATTATATGCAATACAAAGGGGAGTTCAACCGTAAACTCTCGGAAAGATGCTACTACCGTCGTGTAACCCCGTTACAAAGATGGGTATGAAACTCAATGTGTACCCGTCGTTCCGTGCATTTTCCATTAATTATATAGCATTATATAGCATGATGGACGGAGCTTTCATATAGATTTTACTATTCAAATTTCAGTCATGATACTCATTTCTATAAATGGATGTCCGACGAAATTTATTGCTATACACGGTGCGCGAAGCCTGCTTTTGACATTCGTACGCATCTTTATATTATACAATATTTGGTTGATTTAGGAATCTAAATGAGTATGACACAATAGATATGGGTCACTTCACTTTTTGTAATTAATTCCAGTTCAACCTGATGACAACGCTTGCTTTTACCACATTTAGTGTAATGTTAAAGCACTGAACTCATGTTTTTCAAACGAATTTAAAGCATGTGCCTATTTTAATATTTCAAAAAAGCTGTGTTTGATATAGCAACATAACAATGGGAATGAAGGTCAACGTGTACCCATCGTTTCGTCGATGTATTATATAAAGAACGGACACACCAAATAAACTATATTCAGTTAGGGAATCTACCCATGTTATTATCGATGCAAAATGCAAAATCAGCCAATCCAAAATAGCCGATAATGCGGTTTTAGCCAATGCAAAATTAGCAAATAATGCAAAATTAGCCAATCCAAAATAGCCAATAATGGGTTTTAGCCAATCCAAAATGAGCAAATAATGCAAAAGTAGCCAATCCGAATGCCGGAAAAGGATCAAACGGACGGACAGACGGACGGACACAATTCTTTTATTATATAGAAGATATTGCACGAGGCTCTAAGCCGACTTAACTAACAGAAGATGACTATTCAGAGGATGTGCAATGTATACTATCAGCCGCTTCGTAGACGCAATGAGTTTGTTTCCACAGTATGCAAATGCTGACGCAGCGGTCATGTCATCGGCGATGTATCATGGGAGCACTAAATGATGCAGAGTTTCATCAAGACGACGCTTTAAGGTCAAAGAATCATCTGGGGAGTCGCATAGCAGTGCGCGTAGATCAAGAAGCAGTACAGTCGTATTTATTTCCATGAACGTAAACGAATTTGAGTTGCTGTCTGTGGTCGAGAAAGATGATAAAGGCAGTATGTTGGTCGGTACCCCGAGTACTTGGCGCCAGAATTGTTTTGTAGCCACATCATATGGCAATACGATTAACTAATAAAGCTATAGTGTGTTTGTGTACGTGGTGATATAAGAACATATATCGTTTTGGAATAAGTCCGCCTTCACAAGATGCTAAGCAAGGATCGGTTGTACCCTACTGAGCATCGGCTATCGGCTTTTTGCAGCGGTTGTTGGTCAAGAATATACTACAGCAAAACTCACAACGCACTGGAGATCAGGGGCACTTGTGGTTCATGGGCGTCAATTAGGACGCATATATCGAATGCCGAATGGAGTACCCCTCAAGCCGGTGTCGAAAGGTTTGCACTCTAGTCGTGCGCGGACTAGCAGCACAGTACTCACCGCGAACTTGCGTGATGTGTTAGTGTTTGTAAACAGCAGGAAATAGCGCTCGTCTACTTGATATGGCATCATGGCGATACACTTCGACGACTTCTGTTGTAGAAAAACGACGTCATGTGATCATGGCGCACGCCGATTTCGAGACAGCGAATTCAAGATGGAATGTGGCAAGTAGACGCTACTCCAGCCTGTCAATGCCTGCAACACCTCTCATATAAACTTAAGCTCCATTACGAGCCGTGACCAGTTGCACTCATGATAACCTTTGCAACGGCGTAGGCTCTGGCATCCCAAGCTACGTCTGCAGTTGCAATCAGCCTGAAGCATGTGTATGCAGCATGACTTGGCGCATTGGGTGACAGCTCCGACAGGTTGGGACGAGACTCGTCGCGAAAAGTGCTGCGGAAGCAGTTGACACTCATTCGAATCGTTCCCCAGTTTGGCATGAACAGAAAAAATTAAAAGTGTGGGGAAACTCTTAATGTTTTCTAGCTGTTCAAGAGTCTTCACTATGTACTGTACAACATGAGGTCTTGCAGACGGACGGTAATTCACCATTTCGTCCTGCTTCTTGACCTTGGCAATCCGGACATGGTTGAAAATGCATGGTTGCCACCTTCTGATGTCTAGGGTCGCCGATCCTGATGTAATAATGCCGTCTTTTTGAAAAACCACGAGGCCTATGACGTCGGTGGTGGCGAACACAAATGTGCGGTCCCCGTTAGCCGTGAGCCATCACTAGCATGGGATGTCTTCCACAATCTTGGACGTGAGTGTTGTGATATGTTCCTCCCAAGTTGAAGTCGTTGGAACATTTCACGTCCGTTTACACATTTCACGTCCGTTTACCGATTCCGATGGTGAAACGTGGAAACAATGGAGAAGGGAAACGGCGGAGATCAGAATGGGACGAGTCGACAACTGGACGAGTCGACAAACGTTGGTGACAAGGTGGCGGCTCGCAGGTTAGCTGCAGCCGCATACATGAAAGCTCGAAAGCTCAGTCAGAAAAGTGCAAAGTGCAAGGCAAGTCGTCAGTAGCCAGAAAGAGCTAAACGAGGTAATATATATCTTTGAGTGTCAAGAGATATATCTCTATATCTAGCATAGCTGGACGCTAGAGAGACTGCAATAAAGCGAGATTGCAACAGGGTTATGAGCCCAAGCCTGAGCAAGGCTTAAGCATAACCAAGAAACGGCGACGCATTTACAGGCTAAGGTTGTAAGTGTTTGAGTGCGAAGAAAGACTCCGTTTGTCAGGAAGGACAAACGTAAACTTACCTAAAAGCTGGCACAACATGTCAAACAAGGTAGAGCTGAACAAGTATGGACGACCCGTAGGATGGCATGGGCAATCCTGGGCGTACTACAAAGGGATGATGAAACTGACCTTTGAGGAAAAGGATGTGCTGGATTATGCTACGGGAAACAAGATTCTCGTAGGAAACGCAAGTGCAAACGAAGTGAAAGCGTTTCGAGAGGCACAAGTAACAATAAAGCAGCTTATTCTTGCTTCCCTATCAATGGAGTTGGGGCAGCGTGTGATGACGAAAGCAACTGGCACCGAGATGTGGAAATACTTGGAAGACTTTTACGAGGGAAAGAATAATGCTGCAACGAGAACAAACCAAGAAATTATCCTTTACAACAAGTTAAACGCGATGAAGTGCAAACCTAATTGGGACGTTGCGCAACACGTGGAAAACATGTTCATGATTAAAGATCAATTGGTCGCTGTGAACGCAGGTATTCGGGACCCGATCTTTACGCAGATGTTAATTCGATCGTTGCCGGCGAATGCGCGCTTTGATCGTCTGAGAGGCATGGTTGAAAGCGGGGACGACAAGGCGGACACTTCGGAAAAATTGAAAGATCAGATTTTGCGAATGGATAGTTTTAACAAGTGTGATCGGGAGCTTGGTGCCCATGGTGTCATTGGAAATGTGCAGGACAATGGAAGCAGTCAAACATCCAAGAACCGGCAAAACGCTAGCTGTGCAAGATCACATATCGGAACCAGAAAGTTAATAGCTGCCGACAAAGTACTCCAAAGCACGACTTCACAGGCGGATAAGCAGCATGGAAACTGCTTTAATTGTCATAAGCCTGGACACCGCATGAGAAACTGTCCTATAATGAAGAAACCAAAAACGAGTGATTATCAGGTGGCATTTGCACAGCATCCGAAGAATGAGCTTGCGGATGGATGTCAAGAAAAGCCGGATGAACTGATGGTGATGGCAAAGAACAAGCTGTCAACGAGGGAAAATACTCCAGACAGAAACTGCACACAACGACAATGGTGTCTTGACAATGCGTCGAATGTACATGTGGCTTCTGATTTACGATACTTTATTGATTATAGCGCATTTGATAACAATGCACAAGCTCAATGTATCCGAGGATTTCAGAAGCACTTTAAAACAAAGCCGATTGGTCAGGGAACCGTTCAGATACTTGTTCAAAACGGATCAAGCAGCAACATGATAACACTTTATGACGTATTATACGTTCCTGACTGTATGAATTTAATTTCTCACACACAAGTCGAGGACCAAGGACATACTGTGAAGTATTGCATCCGAGAGGGAGAAAGATTCTACGAGCTTTGGCAGCATAATCGGAAGCTGCTGAACATCAAAAGAGATGACTGTGGTCTTTTCACATTTAATGCCATCAATGATTTTCTATCACAAACGAGTGACAGGGGTGAACTGCTGATCACAGATAAGTGCTTCCGTCCTCAGGTAAATCATACGCGCGCACAAGGGCGCGCTGATATCCAACGGTGGCACGAAAGGCTGGGCCATCTTAATCCACAGTACGTGAAGCTCATGGCAGATCGCAAGCTAGTAGACGGAATGTCACTAAGCCCAAAACAATTTATTGATTGCGAAGCATGCCACATTGGTAAAGACCGACAACGTACACGTCATCAGCATTTGATGCGTGATATAACGACGAAGAATCAAGTGATATTTGTCGATTTACTTTTTCCGAAGTACAGCTCAAGCCCAAGAGCGTATAAGGCGGTACTTGTTGTAGTAGATGGATACTCCCGGTATACTACGGTGTACCCACTTTACTCAAAGAACGCATCGGAAGTAAATACAGCCATCAAACGATACATTTCCTGGGCAGAGCGTCAATTTCCCGCAAATAAGGTCAAGCAAGTGATATCTGACGGCGGAGGGGAATTTGTAAATGGGGAGATTACCCGTTGGTACAGGAATGTTGGCATTGAGTTCTTACCAAACCCACCTCATGGATCACACTTGAACCTGTGTGAGAGAGCACACCAAACCCTAATTCACATGATGAAGGCAATGATGGCGTCCGCAAAGCTACCAAAATCGTTTTGGATGCATGCGCTTGAGATGGCTACGTACCTGAGAAATAGGGCATACTGTCGGTCAATCAAAGAGACTCCATACAGAATGATGATGAACAAGAAGCCAAACCTACATGGTATAAAGAAGTTTGGATCTCTCGCTTATGTCCATCAATCGAACAACCCATCTCGGAAGAAACTAGATGATAACTGCAGAATTGGTTTTCTTTTGGGGTACCTGGAAGGACAAGCCGGATTTAAAGCTTATTTTCCAGCAGATCAAGTGGTTCAACACGTTTTGGATGCTTCGGTCAATGAGGATATAGTATACGGTGACCGATATCACGAAGGATATGCTGTCGCCGTATCAGATTGGTTGTCACGTACAAGTACGGATGATGAAAATGGAGCGAGTATGGAAGTCGACAGCAATGACGAAAGTATTGCGTCAGATGAAGACAGCATGGAAGTCGACAGCAATGGCGACAGTATTGATTCGGATGATGACAGTATCGCGTCGGATTGTGAATCGATCCCGATTGACTATGAGAGCGAGTCATCAGCAATCGAGTCATCACCAAAGTTTAAATTAGTTGATGTGAATTCAGTGGAGACCAACATTGATATTCCTGTAATTCGGGATACACTCGATCTGAGTAATCAGAGCCCTATGTGTGCCAATGCCAGTGATGATGCAATCCAGAAACATAATACAAGCAAGCCCTCTAGCTTGGAAAGTGAAACGACCCACGATACCGAAACAGATGTTGACAGACAATCAGCTGCCGAAAATTGCGACAAGGTGAGTTGTGACTATCGGTCAGAGACATCCGACACTAGTAATAGCGAGGATGAGGATGAAAATGTACATAAAGATACGGAACTACCTACCACATCCAAGGATACAGTACATTCACGCGAGGGTGCGACGACGAGTGAGTCCAGCAATGACCTGATGGATGTAGAGGATCACGAATTACGTCAGTGATGTGTGTGTCGTGAAAAGGACAACTTGCATGGACAGTGTTCTTCGAATGATCTGGATTGTGTGATCAGTTTATAAAGGGTTTATACATTTACTTTAGTAGTAGTTTAACTCTTAATACTACTTTTCATTTGGCAGCACAGTGAAGTAGTTGAGCTATCGTTACAGGTTATGAGCCCAAATACGTTGGCTCCTAATGACATCCTCACGGATGACAGTTACTTCATGTGGGAATTTAATGCACGCATGAAACTCGCGCGCAAGGATCTTTTGGATCACGTTTTGATTAAGCCAGAGCCGGCAGTGCTGCGGGAGAATCCCGGATGGAAAGTCGCCGATATGAAGGCTCTGGCTGTACTGGTGAAGCTAATCTCTTCAACCTATCAGTGCATGGTTCGGGAATGTGAGTCTGCGTTTGAAGCTTGGGAGGTTCTGAAGACGTTCTTTGCGAAGAAAAATCTTCACAACCGAGTGCAACTTCGGAAAGAATTACATGAATTTGTGATGGAGACTGGTGCGAGTCTTATGGACCATCTACTAAAATTTGATGAGCTGTGTCTCAAGCTCGGAGCTGCCGGTGACAGCATGGATGATGATGAAAAGCTAGTTTTGCTTTTGGGAAGTTTATCATCCGAATATGATGATATGGTGCGCATCATTGAGGCGCACAGCAACGTGACGCTGTTAGACGCAAAAGAGATGCTCCGCCGGGAGTATGACACTCTTCAGAAGCGAGACAAGAAGGAAACCGCTTTTACGGCACACGCTCAACGTAATGAACCTCGACGCTTTCAAAGTAACCGAGGACACCGTGGACAAGAAGAAAATCGAGATCGCTACCAAACTTCGAGGAAAGGAAAAGCTCATGCGAGTTTTCAAGGCAAATGCTTTGCGTGTGGCCGGCATGGACACAAGAGATCGCAGTGTCGTAACGTGAAACCATCGAGACCTGGTGATGAATTCGTTTTTTCGGCATTCAGTGACGAACCAATTTTGAATTCAACTTGGTTGCTGGATAGTGGGGCAACTCGTCATATGACTGATGACAAGCGTGAATTTGTGGAATACGAAGATTTAAGTACCCCAATTTACATCACTGTGGCAAATGGACATCAGTTGAAGGCGCAAGGAACAGGCAAAGCTCGATTTATACTCGAAAATGGTCGTACAGTCAAACTTACGGAGGTGTTGTATGTGCCTGGGCTAGACAAGAAACTTGTGTCTGTAGCAGCGTAGACGGCCCGAGGCGTGCTTGTTCAGTTCAAGCGTGATCAAGCAGTTTTGATAAGTGACGACGTGACTGTAGCAGTAATTAAACGAGTGGGAAAGCTGTTTGCGTGGAATGTAAAACAACATATCACGTTAGAGGCACACAAGGCTGAGAGCAGTGGTGCGATAAATGACACTAGTGGACTGTGGCATGCTCGCCTCGGTCATGTGTCTACGAAAAAGATTATGCAAGCGATGAAGTCTTGCGATGGTATTTCGAGAGTTGTCGCATCTGATGGCGGTGTATGTGATGGATGTGCACGCGGAAAAATGACAAACAGCCCGTTCAGTCATATTTCAGGAAGTGAAGTTAAAACAAGTCGACCACTTGAGGTTATACACATCGATCTTATGGGACCTATGAATCCGAAGTCGAAAGGTGGGGCTCTATATGTACTCACATTTATCGACGACTACAGTCGATTTGTCTACGTATACTTGCTAGCAGCAAAGTCCCAAGTTTTTGAGCGATTTAAGGCGTTTCGTGCTATGGTGGAGAAGCAAACGGATTGCAAGATTAAATGCATCCGTAGTGACAATGGTGGAGAGTATACGAATCATCGCTTTAACAAGTACTGTGCAGATCTAGGGATTATCCACTAAACGAGCGTGCCGTACAATCCTCAACAAAACGGCTTAGCAGAAAGGATGAATCGAACTCTTGTTGAGATGGCCCGATCAATGATATATCACATGGAAGTTGATCGTTCTTGGTGGGGTGAGGCGATTATGGCGGCTGCTTACACCATCAATCGAATTCCTAATCTGCGCGACCCAACGTTAGTCCATTTGAAACTCTGTATGGGTCGAAGCCAGACTTAAGTCATTTCCGTGTCTTTGGTTCGACTGGTTATCTACGAGTCGCGGATTGCAAGCGCACTAAATGGGACAGCAAGGCAAACAAGTGTATTTTTCTCGGGTATTCGGAAAATTCAAAGGCGTACCGAGTGTGGGATATTGCGAGAGGACAATTGGTTACGACTAGGTCCGTTACGCTAAACGAGAGTCCTCCTTCGCGGTACAAAGATGTTGTTGTTTTAGGTTAACCTTTAGCTCAATGCAATCATTATCATGATGATTTAGACGAAGTAAAGGTGGAAGTACCTGATTTGAACAAGAATAACGAGGATGACGAAATGGACGTTGATGAAACTGCTGACAATGATACTAGTTGGGAAGACATGGTTGTGGATGCGTCTGGAGATCTCAATCAGTCACAAAACTTAGATGTTGTTCCGATTGAGGGGGAGCGCACAGACATACAAGTCATTGACACAAACAATTCGATGATACTTCGGACTTCACACGGATCGGTCGATGGAAGTAGCAATAATGGTACACACATGCTCTCAGGAATACCTGATCAGTCGCGAGCTATTATAGTTTGTGAGAATTCCCGTGCCCCAGATGATCGAATGGAGATATACTCAGGGTCGAACAAAAGACCTTATAGTACATTCACGTCATCTCGTCTACTCACGAATGATGATTTTGACGATGAGAGGATTGATCTACCGCTTTTAACTGATGGATCACCTGCCGATGGCGAAAATGATGAGCCGGACCCTAAATGTCAATGTGTTGACGATTACGAAATATCGCTTTCTGCTACTGATGTACCAATGAATTTACGAGAGGCGTTACAGTCGATGGACGCAGAAAAATGGAAGGCAGCAATTCAAGCAGAAATTAATGCTCATCTTAAGAACCACACATGGGATGCTGTCAATCGTCCTCCAGGTGTCAAGGTCATTGGTCATAAGTGGGTATTTGGTTACAAGTACGATGAAAACGGTCAAATTGTTCGTTACAAAGCACGCTTGGTTGCCCTCGGATATCTGCAAACGCATGGTTTTGATTACTTCGACACATATTCACCTGTAGCATGCTCAAACACGATTCGTGTATTTTTGTCTGTTTGTTGCAGTATGCAATATGTAATTCGACAATTTGACGTGGAAACGGCGTTTTTGAATGGTGATTTGGAAGAAGACGTTTACATGGAGGCACCATATGGAATTGAAATTGCACCTGGAATGGTGTGCAAATTACGACGCAGCTTATATGAATTAAAACAAGCGGCTGCGGTTTGGCACAAGAAAATATGCTCTGTGTTTTCGGCCATGGGCTTCGAACAATGTCGAGCAGACACATGTCTTTTTGTTCGACGCAATAATGCAAAAAATAAGTCACACACATACATAGTCTTGTATGTGGACGACCTCCTTATTGGATGCAAGTCAGATGCAGAGGCGGACACGATTTTTAAGGAATTGTCAGAGCATTTTACTGTCAAGTCACTTGGAGCTGCGCGGTTTATTTTGGGCATGGAAGTTAACTACTCACAAGAAAAGGGGGAGTTGGTGTTGAAACAGTCCCAATTTATTATGAAGGTGGTCTCGAAGTTTAAGCAAAATGAAGCTTATGCAGTTCGCAACCCTATCTGCGCAGGACAGGACCTAACTCCGGATGAATCACACCCAGTGGTTAAAGACATTACTTCGTATCGCAAATTGGTCGGCTCGTTGCTGTATATTGCGAATGCAACGCGACCGGACATAAGCTACGCGATGTCAGTATTATCGCAGTACTTGGACCAGCCACGACAGATGCACTGGCGAGCGGCTTTACGTGTTTTACACTATCTCATGGGAACAAAATCGCACGGAATTAAGTATAACAAATCGGACGACAAAAAGATGATGCTTTGGGCATACTGTGACGCGAATTGGGGAAATGATAAGAAAACTCGTCGATCTACGTCTGGAGTGTTGATTTTACTCGGAGGTGCAGCTGTCGTATACAAAAGCAAACGCCAAAACTCGGTGGGTTTATCCTCTGCTGAAGCGGAATATATGGCACTGGCACTAGCTACGCAAGAAGTTATGTGGATTCGTTATTTGCTGAAAGAGATGGGTGTCACATGTAAGACTGCGACTACAGTGCACATGGACAACAAGTCGGCTATAAGTATTGCGACGAATCAGGGATATACTCCAAGAGCTAAGCACGTTGACCTTAGGATGCATTTTGTTCGAGACCACATTGAGCAAGGTGATATCCAGCTCAAACATGTTCCGTCAGCTATGCAACTTGCTGATTACCTAACGAAGCCGCTTGGTGCTCCACAATTGATGCGACTACGCGATGAAACTGGAATTCGCGAGAGTGCAAGTTGAAGGGGAGTGTAGAGGATCACGAATTACGTCAGTGATGTGTGTGTCGTGAAAAGGACAACTTGCATGGACAGTGTTCTTCGAATGATCTGGATTGTGTGATCAGTTTATAAAGGGTTTATACATTTACTTTAGTAGTAGTTTAACTCTTAATACTACTTTTCATTTGGCAGCACAGTGAAGTAGTTGAGCTATCGTTACAATGGATACGTGTATGATTCCTGAAATAATTACTGGAGAACGTAGGAAAGTTTTGGATGCGGAGCTAGAGGATGTCCAAGAGATAAAACGACGGCGCGATAACAAAGGAAGGCCACAGAAAATGGTCTTACGCCAGTCAACAGAGCGCCGATACCCGTCGTGGCTTGAGGGGTACCTTGTGAATGCTGCACTCCATGAAAATAGCGAAAGTCTTACAGCGAACCATAGATGGCGAGCAAATGAGACCAAGATTCCCAAAAGCTTTACTGAAGCGATGAAGACGCCGCAAAAAGACGAATGGTATAATGGTATGAAAAACGAAGTGAACGCCATGTTTTCTAAGGGAGTATTGGTTCCGATTGATGAAACAGAAGCCCCGGCGAAGGCAAACAAATTAGGATTAATGTGGAGATTCCAAGTGAAGACTGATGACCAAGAATTCATTACTCGTTTTCGTCCTAGACTTGTAGGATTAGGAAACCATCAGCAGCCAGGAATTGACTACGTGGAATCATTTTCGCCTGTCGCACGGATTGTTACCTTTCGAGTGTTGGTGGCACTAGCCACAAAATTCGGACTGGTTCTATATCAAGGAGATGTACAAACAGCATACTTGAATGCGAATTTACAGATCAGGCAATATGTCCGAAATATACCAGGATTCCCTCAACCCCCAGGAATCATCTATCGAGTGGACAGAGCGCTCTATGGCTTGCATCAGTCAGGAGCCGAATGGAATGAAGAGATTGATAACTGGTTGGTCACTCAAGAGTTCAAACGTAGTGAGACTGAGCCTTGTCTTTACTTCTACTGCAAACATGCAGTACTGGCTCTTCTCATGTTATACGTCGACGATGTGGTATTAGCGACTGATTCTAAGGCATATAAGGCATCGTTTTTTGAAGCCATCGACGCGAAATATGGTTTTAAAGATGGAGGAAAGCTGCACTATTTTTTAGGCATCAATGTCGAGCAAGATGAGACGGACACGTATATTCACCAAACGAAATATTGCAAGGAAGTTCTCGAGAAAGTTGGCTTTGGCGAAGCACACGGTAGTGCAACTCCTATGGAGACCAACACTAGATACAGGAAGTGCATTGAACCAGCTGAAGACACTGATTTTGATTATCGAGGAACTATTGGATCGTTGATGTACTTGGCGACTACTACAAGGCCAGATATTGCGTATGCTGTGGGCTACTTGAGCCGTTTTGTGAGCAACCCATCACGAAAACACTGCGGAGCCGTCAAGCGAGTATTGCGATACCTATCTGGTACACTACAAACCGGCATAAGATACACACGAGATATGGGAGCAAACGAAAGATGTTGTCATTACTGGATATTGTGATGCTGATTGGGGCAACGATCCCGACTCAAGAAAAAGTGTCACCGGATTTGTGCTTATGATGGAATCTGGAGCTGTCGCATGGGCTGCCAGACGTCAAACAATAGTCGCACAGTCAACCGCAGAAGCCGAATATGTGGCAGCATGCGAAGCGTCCATGGAGGGTCGCGGAATTGCAAATATGCTCAATGAGATTTTACACTGTATACAGGCACATGCTGTACTAACGATGGGCATTGACAATGCGGCAGCTATTTCGTTGGCATGCAAACCCACACATAGCAGCAAAACAAGACACATTGAGCTAAGATGGCATTATCTGCGCGAACAAATTAAGGCTGGGCATATTTTGGTAAAGAAAGTGTCCGAAACAGATAAATACTGCTGATATGTTCACAAAGGCTCTACCGAAGCGCAGCCTAGCGAAGTATCGAGCCGACATTGGCATGAGGATTTCACAAGAGTAAAGATGTTCCGACACAAGCGTCGGAGGGGGCGTGTTGTGATATGTTCCTCCCAAGTTGAAGTCGTTGGAACATTTCACGTCCGTTTACACATTTCACGTCCGTTTACCGATTCCGATGGTGAAACGTGGAAACAATGGAGAAGGGAAACGGCGGAGATCAGAATGGGACGAGTCGACAACTGAACGAGTCGACAAACGTTGGTGACAAGGTGGCGGCTCGCAGGTTAGCTGCAGCCGCATACATGAAAGCTCGAAAGCTCAGTCAGAAAAGTGCAAAGTGCAAGGCAAGTCGTCAGTAGCCAGAAAGAGCTAAACGAGGTAATATATATCTTTGAGTGTCAAGAGATATATCTCTATATCTAGCATAGCTGGACGCTAGAGAGACTGCAATAAAGCGAGATTGCAACAG